CTAGTTGCACCGTCGGACATTGAGAAAGAAACTCCTACTGCTGCAAATTCTAGGAACACTACAGCCGTCGCCGTTTGTCAGGATGACTTGACTTGGTCTCAAGTGCCTTGCTGCCGAATAGAATGTCCGAGGAACGGCGTGCACATCTGGTTTCGAATTTCATGCAGAATGTACAGAATTATGGTTCAAGAAACTGCGGGGTGGTGTTGAGGAGGATCATCAGAGCTTAGTGAATCGCATTCACTGCAGTTGACATTGATCAGGTGACATAAAGGACTTGAAATGGTTACTGATTGTATACTTTCATTCACTTGATTCAGATCCCTCAGTTTATGCACACAGAGAAGCTTTGTATTTGGGAAACTGAAACACGAGCTTTTACAAAAGCAGCAGCCCAAAATTATTCGTGCATCATACGTTGCTGGACGAGCCACTTTATTCAGTCCATCTTGTACTTATACAGTACTTGTACATGTAAGAGAAATTAAAATCAGATGGTAATTCCCAGAAAGTCTCAATCTTTCTTCCAATCAAGACAGCATGCAGCTGATGAGGCATCAATTTATTTATAAAAAAAATGTGAAACACATTGGAGAGGCATTTTCATCATATCTCGCTCTTATCACAGACGTCTGAATCTATAGATTTCTTGAAACATTGTCGTATCAATCAGTATTCCTTTCTAAAGGAAACATGGCACTTGTGGGCGAACTTAAGGGTTCAAGACATAAAGAGAGGTATTAGGTGAACAAGATTAAGCATTTTCATGAGGATCACATGCTACACAGAAAAAAATATACAACTGAATGTATTCATCACGAGAAAACACGGTGTACACAAAAGTCTATGAATTTTTAAAAACGGAATTCAAGCTCAAGTATACGAGAGGTTACACGGTTCCGCGCGGATCGGCTTTTTGCTGCTGTTCGGAATTTAACAATTGAACGTTTTAAATCCTGTTTCAACTCATGGATTAAAAGGGCCGAGAAATGTGTAAAAATTGGTGGTGATGACATTGAGAAGGTATCTGTGCTGCCTGCCTTAGCCCCTTGGAAGTACAGTATAGTGAACATGAGGAAAATGTTAAAAAAAATCCCTGGTGTTTGGATCATTTCAAGTTCGCGCCGAATCGTGTAACCCGCCCTTGCATATTTTTTCAATATAATTTTAAAGAGGCTTCATTGTGCCTAACGTGTTCAAGTTATACTAATGGAATCCATTCACCAAAGGATTTAAAAACTCAATTGTGTGTTCCTTGTGTAATCTTACTCGAATTTCACGCAAAATAATTCAAAAACTTCCGTCAATCCAGAGAGTTCACATTTCGCAAAAAACATTTTTTCAGCCAGATTTTAAAAACAGCACAAACCTCTGCAGGATGGCTTCACCCTGAAATCCATCGAGTATCTCTAGTTAAATAAATGAAAAGTAATGTAGATTTCCCTTTGAGAACGATCTAAAATGAAGTAAAAAAAATTGCATGACAATAAGTGTATTCTCTTACATAAATCATTACACAGTACAGCACAGTACAGTATTTGCGATAAGCTTGCAACCCACAAGATGTGCGAAGGGCTATTAATTATCCGTTGGCTCAAAGGTATTCAAGAGATGTATCATGAAGGAAATATTTCTCGTTCCCACAAATTTGCGGAAGGATTGGCATCAGAAACCATACGTAAATAAAATCAGGAATGTTTTTGAATCATGTCATAATGTTGATTCATATGTTGCTGATGTGATACTGCAGAATGATCCACTTTTATGTCATTTATCTTGGGGAAGAGTACATATAACTTGTTCGACCCTGAAATGTTTCAGATCTGAATTTTTAAAAAAAAATTTATCCTCATGGGTGCACAGGGCGTGCTTTTGACTTTAACCGCCTATTGCTCTACTAACCTCTCTAGTTACTTACGTAAACACCTATTCTTGCAAAATAAGATTAATAATTAGTTCTATACTCATGCTCTTTTGTTTAATTAGTTAAAATCCTCATGTTCTTTTTCTTCCTACAGCCATTCAGAGCATAATTAGCCAAACAACAACAGAAAACTTTCAGCTCACTTTAAATCTTCGCTAACCTTTTGTAAGTTGAAGTGGTACTACTCCCTTGAAGACAAATTAGGGAAGTATAGTAAGTTATTTTTAATTGCTAAGTTAAAATTAGCGAGCTTTAGGGTCTTTTGTGTATACGGTATTTATTCACATCGTGGGAGTGTTTTGTCAAACTGACTCAAAAAATGAGAATACGTTTTGAACCCCAGAAATAAAGACTCAAATGATGTGGGTATCATGCAAGCAAGAATTACTTAGAATATTTTCATTGTAAAGGACAACAAACGTGTAGAACGATCTTCGAGTACTGAAATTCGACTTTTAATGAATCATAACTGTTGACGATACTAATGACAAGGTATTAATGAAATAACCACGGCGTACATAGTTCAGATATACATTCATTCCAGGAGGTGATCTATTTTTTTTCATTTTACAAGGAATCCAGAGAATTTAATTTCGTTAAGATTCACGACGATCTTTCCCAAGATGGAAACGAAAACAGATTCTCCCTCGTCCAATTTGCAGATGGTGTCAATTTCAACGCTGTGTTCATCAAACTCCCCGATTAATCCTGCAGCTAACACAAGGTCCGGTTTCTCAATCCTTGCCTCACCCTGATTTCCTTGTCCTGCAAACTGCAGAAAGAAGTGATATAAGCCGGCTTTAGGAGCGATGAAAGTTCCTTTGGCGCTGTTGAATCCATTGCCAATATTCCAGTGAACTGCCTGAAAGGGTACAATTCCAAAAAATTTCAATCTTTAAAGTAGTCCCTCAGCCGATGCCAAATGTATTCAAACCCTTTTCTCGGGGTTCTTCAAAGTCAATTAATTGTTTTATTTCTATGGAAATCTCCATTTTAACTTTTTTGTTTTTCATTGGTAATTTTTTGTGGTTTCCTCGAACATTTCTGACGAGTTAAAGAAAATGACGAAAGGTGAATGTACACATTGTCTCTTGATATTTTGCATGCATCCACTTGAACCAGTCCCTTGCTTTAGTACAATACCAGATTTAAAACAATGAAATCAGGATTTTTGTAAGTTTTAGGCAATTTTTGGAGGCAGCGTTTTTTCATCGTGAGACAGTAATTTCAACATTACTTCGCAATTTCGATTTTTGGCCTTGGTGATTTTTACCAATTTTACAAAGCTGAAGCCCAAGGAGATAAGTAAAATAGGTCTCGCCTAGAGCTGCAGCACAGGTCTGTCTCTTGATGCCATGAAAAATCCTGCATTAAAATAGAGTGCCAGGGATGTCACAGTACATGGGACGATTGCATCCCCATTGCCCACATACGGTAGATAAGAAAAAAATACTGCACGTTTTTCAAAATTCTTGCAACCCAAGCGTCCTTAAGACAAAACAAATACAGTACAATTGTTCCCCTCCTAAGTAATTACAGTACTCACATACTCCAACCCTCTTCGAATAAAATCTTGTTACTAACTCTCTACTGATGTGAGCTGCCTTTTTCCCGTTGCCTTTTTTTTGCATTGCGTGAAATCTTTTTTTTTTATTATTTATAATAATTATTATTATTATTTTGGATCAGCTCAATATTTTCTTGCCGCTGAACAAGAAGTCCATGTGTGTTCTTTATTCCTTTTATTTTCCCTCTGATTTTCAACCTCCATTAGAAGCCTAAAATTATTCAAGGCATGTTGTTGGGGAACCAGAACTCAGGCCCAGGGACGTCAGGTCCCAGCACCTGGATTCTGGTCCCGTTTTCCTTTGTGCATCCATTCCTTGGATGCACAACTTCTTTCAATGCACATTTTGTCTGTCAATCACAGGCAAGGAAAAAGTCCAGTGCTTTGGTCAGGTCAGTTGACAGAAGCATTGTGCTAAATTGTATAAAAACCCAGCACTCTTCCACTCCCGAATAATAAGTCCTTAAAATTAGCTCCTACAGTAAACTTCCCTCACAACGTTCCAACCCCAATTCTTCTGATTGAATTGTTGCATTGCATTATTGCACCCTAAATTTGTGTGCACAAATTTATTGTTTTTGTTGAATGTGTGTTGCATTTGTTGTGATGCATTATTTTTGTATTGTGTTTGATTGTGATTCATTGTGGACTGTGATTAAATCAGACAAAACTAGGTTTATGTAATTAAGGTAACCCCTTAATTAGATATTCCTGGCCACAAACCAGCTGATCGCCCTGCCTTATTATTTCCCAACTTTTCTTCCACTGCGCTATGGTTAAATTCTTTATGTTGGGTTGATTAATTTCCTCAACAAAAGCAAAAATGCTCACATTCTTTGGGAGACTCCATAGAGTCATCCGGTATTTCTGCCACTGAGAAGGCAACTGCATCCAGGTCCTATGGAAACAGAAGTTAATTATGCTTGTTTAACCCATGTTTTTCATGGCTGGCAAGTGTTTGAATAGACCTTACATTTGAATCAGCAATGAGTCTCCCACTGAGTCGCCACCAGTTATTATGCAGAAAGCCAAGGGAATTCAAGTAGTCCGTGGTAGAGGAATCCGCTCTTCCGAAATATTCCATGACTTCACTTTTCTTCATGCTCACTAGGCTGTGGCCAGCGAGAGTCATCGGGTCTGGGAGTTTCCAGGTCAACTCGGAATCGTATTCCTCGTGCCCCATGTGCTGCAGCAAAACACACTGATTTGCAATGTCTACATCATTCAGCAATCCTGCGAAGTTGAACAAGTAAATTCCGTCCCGTGGGGCTACGAAGTATCCAATGGTGGGCTTGAGACCATGTCCGACATTCAGCACCACCCTTTCCGGACGGATTCCTGCAGAAAAAAAAAATGATTGCAGTAGTTCTCTGACTTGATGACCAAGGAGTTAAAATTGAACAAAAAACACATACAGTAATTTCTAATGCTGTAGTATTAAGAGTCTGTTGCACGAGAAGCAAAACAAATCCTCTGATGAGAATGTCTACTGATACATTACTCATGTAAATTACAGTACTGTACAGTATTAAAACATCGGCTCCAGAAACGGTAAATAGTATAAAAGTAAGAAAATTTCGAAATATAGAAATATGTGGAGGAAAATACGGGACATTCACCAGGAAACTCCGGAGTGTGGTTTTGAATTGTGAAATTGTTTTAATCGGTTTTGTAACATTAATCCTCAAAGTTTAATCAAGTTGGACACGAAATGATCTCAAGCCGAGATCTGCGGAGCATCGAAATTCAAAAAAAATATATCTATTTGTTAGGATCATGTCCATTGCGGGACAACCTGGTCCCGAAAAGGAGTGCTGGTATACTTTTCAAGACTAACAAATTTTGGTCAACCATATCCTTTTCTTGAAGTGAATTAAACGTGTACATCATGTTTATTGAAAATCCTTGCCATCAACTAAGCCATTGGCTTCAACATTCTAAAGCAGCAATGAATTGTTGAGGCACATTATAATTACTTTTTATTGGAATTTGTGTCCACTTTTGGAGCAAAATGGGGAGCAAGGTTTGGCAACCCTCCTGTTTCTTTCTTTAATTTTTTTTAGATATGTGGTATAGCAGGAAGCAGGGGGGAAATGATCAGGATAAAATGCAAGATCATTATCCATATAACATGCTTGCAATTTTCTTTCTGTATCAGTTTTTTCTGCAAGTTTTACTTTTGTTGGAAATGGAGTGTCAGGAGTGTTTGAGTGGTAACAATAATTTGGGATTGAGCTCTTGCCTGAGGAACATCTGAAATTAATTCACAAGGCTGAATCAGCAGAGTGTGTGTGCTCAAGTTATTTGACTTATTACTGGTCTCTGCTGTGGTGGTGTAACAACCAAGTGTCCTCATTTGGTCTGACCAAGTGAGAAGCTGCAAGTAAGCTTGCCAGAGAGCATCAGAGAGGTGCTGGGGAATCCAAGGAAGCAACAGTTTCCAGCCAAACATACAGTATTTTGTTTATAAAAAATCAAAAAAAAGACTGGAGGTTCAACAACAATTAATACTTTTTGAATATGTTGCGGACAAGGAGAGATGAAGTTGTCCAATTGAAGTGAAGATGATTGGGTTATTGTGCTGCATGTCCTTTGCATCAGGCAAATCGATTCCCTGATAGTCAAGAGCACTTATTTATTCGAACAGTCAATTTTGTAATTCCAACGAAGAATCTCACGTTTCTTACCTTTTGGTTTGCGTGAATTTTGCAATCACAAACAAAAACCCTCGTGATTAAAATATTGACAGCGAGAGCCACAAGCCTTTTCCAATGGAATGTCGCTTTCTTCCTGTTTTTGGCCATGTCCGAACACTGTGCTAAAATGTAGTATATGTAAAACCTATTGCGTAAAAATTGAACCCTGGAGTTGACTTCACCGATTCTTAGTGTACTGTGCTCTGCCAACAACTGCGGACATTTTCAGCCATTTCTTCAATATATTAGCTGGGTGTAAAGAATCACGGTGTCACAGGATGGTGGCGGTCCATAGAATGTTCGTTATTCTGACGTCAAAATCGCACAGTTCTAAAGTCATAACGTGCGTCAATTGAACAATTCACAAAATATCACTGGTATCGTATGCACATCGCATATTTATCCAAGTTTTTGACTGGATAATTGAATGATTTCAAAGCAGTCAGCAAATTTTTGGCAGTTTTCTTTGGCACAGTTATTTACTTCATCTTGGATTTTGAAAACTTTTTTTGGTTTGTGGAGGATTTGTTTTAAAGTGATGACAAGTTGAAAATTTTACTGTACAAAAAATACTCTGCTTTACAGAAAATGAAATTTCTTGAAAAAAAAACAAAATGATGGAAATGCATGAAGAAAATCAAATTTTGGAGGATTTGTTTTAAAGTGATGACAAGTTGAAAATTTTACTGTACAAAAAATACTCTGCTTTACAGAAAATGAAATTTCTTGAAAAAAAAACAAAATGATGGAAATGCATGAAGAAAATCAAATTTTTGGAAATGATATAATCTCATTTAAATTATTCTCTTACTAATCACTGCAATCTTTCATATCTCTGTATTATTCTAATTCTTGTTCCTTGAAATTGTCACTGGATTCTCATGAATAATACAGAATAATAAAACCATATTTTAAAAAATTACCCCTCTTAGTCAAACTTTTTTTATGGTCCCCATCTGTATCCCCTTAGAAACAATGCATTAAAAAACCTCCTCAAGTTGAAAGCTTTTCCCCTCAAACCTCCATAAGTTGAATTTTCTGTGGCCTGTTGACTATTATTTTCTTGACCCAAGAAAGAAAAAAAACAATAAAAACAGGAAATTTATGTGTTTTAAAGAAAGTGAAAGACTTATTTGGGCAAATGAACCCCTGCCTCCAAGTTCTGCACAGCCTTTCAACTCATTTAAGAAGCCATTCAAGTCCCGGAATATCATCATTTTTTTTCTACATTGCCCAGAAAAAAAGGCTTTCATTTTAGTTCAAACCTATATTGTTCAAAACCTCCCTGAGTCAATTTTTTTTACGGGTCTCTTGAAATTCAACTTAAAGAAGTTTAACAGTATATGAGAAGGACATGGATGTTACTGCATACGAGTTGAACAAGCATTTGTGTAAATTTGAACTCTCCAAAGAAATATCCTGCAATATCAAGAATCAGCATCACCGAACGAGGGAATTCATGATACGATTTTTCGCTCGCTAGAAAAACAGTAGATGGGGATTAAATTGCGGGAAATTGCCAATGACGCTTCCAACACCCTCATAAAATTGACGACAAATGTTCAGCGCATGGAAGAAATTATTATTCGACGATTTTTTGCTATGTGTGTGAGTAATTCTGATTTTTATGATAGCTCAATCCAGAAGATGGAGCAATATGGACAAAAAAGCAGGAATCCGCCAAGCGGACGTTCCTTCAACTATCGCCATGTACCTTCATGAAATTCGCAACAATTAAACGTCCAACGGGTGGAAGAAATTATTTTTTTGACCCTTTTTGGCAAAATTGCGAATAATTTGAATTATTTTTTAATCTATGCAGAAGAACAGAGGAGCGATGGACACATTCGCAGAACTCTGCCAATGACGTTTTACTGTAGCTGTCGACACATTCATGAAATTGGCAACAGATGCCCAACACGTGGAAGAAATTATAATTTGCCAATTTTTCCCAATGAGTTTACGGGTCCCTTGAAATTCAACTTAGAGAAGTTTAACTGTATATGAGATGGACATGGATGTTACTGCATACGAGTTGAACAAGCATTTGTGTAAATTTGAACTCTCCAAAGAAATATCCTGCAATATAAAGAATCAGCATCACCGAACGAGGGAATTCATGATACGATTTTTCGCTCGCTAGAAACACAGTAGATGAGGATTGAATTGCGGGAAATTGCCAATGACGCTTCCAACAACCTCATAAAATTGACGACGAATGTTCAGCGCATGGAAGAAATTATTATTCGACGATTTTTTGCTATGTGTGTGAGTAATTCTGATTTTTATGATAGCTCAATCCAGAAGATGGAGCAATATGGACAAAAAAAAGCAGGAATCCGCCAAGCGGACGTTCCTTCAACTATCGCCATGTACCTTCATGAAATTCGCAACAATTAAACGTCCAACGGGTGGAAGAAATTATTTGTTGACCCTTTTTGGCAATAATTGCGAATAATTTGAATTACTTTTTAATCTACGCAGAAGAACAGAGAAGCGATGGACACATTCGCAGAACTCTGCCAATGACGTTTTACTGTAGCTGTCGACACATTCATGAAATTGGCAACAGATGCCCAACACGTGGAAGAAATTATAATTTGCCAATTTTTCCCAATGAGTGCGAATAATTTTTATTATTTCCTAGCTAAATGAAAAAGAATAAATGAGATACGACCACGTGTATCCGCGAATGACGTTTTATACTTTGGATATCGAAAATTTCATGAAACTGGCAACAGATGTCCAACGCGTGGAGAAATTAGTTACTTGAAACTTTTTTGAAACGAGTGCGAATAATTCAGATAACTTGTTTCGAACATTAGGACGAAGAAGCAATGGTGGAAATCTGCCGATGACGTTTTTGACAACCCCATTAAATTGGCAATGCATGCGTTCAACGCGTGGAAGAAATCATCACTCGTCAATTTTTCCCGAAGAGTTCAAATAATTTGAATTTTTACAGCTGAATGGCTCAATCGAACCATCGCGGGAATCGAACCAATGACGTTTTCAGCGTTCTCATAATATATGGCAAGACATGTCGAATGCGTGGAAACAATTTTTGTTTGCGCGTTTTCTGGCATGGGTGCGAATATTTTGGAATACTCCATTTTAGTTGAATCAAGAAAAGCGATCAATTGAAACGATCGCGGGAATTCGCCATTGACGGTTTTGATTCAACTACTGTATATCGACACCCTCATTCAATGGGCAACGAATGCTCAACTCGTGGAAGAACTCGCTCTTCGCCAATAATTCACGATTAATGCGAAGTTTTCGAACGCGATCCTGATTTCATCATCCAAGGAGGATATTAAGTTACAGCAAACTTCATATTCGATCATTATACAGTACTTAGCTTGATCGATTGTCACATGTGATAATCAAAGACAGAGGAAAGTTGCTTTAAAAATTGGATTTGCATTAGACTTGGCTAGCTATGAGGGCGAAAATGTTCAGTACTTTCTCGACGAAACTTAGGCTGGTCGTCCCATCACAACTGCTACACGAAGTACATCTGATATACATACTCTGATCATTACTTTTCAGGCGAGGGAAAGGTGAGATTTCCAACAGGATTTATAGTCAGAAAGACGATTAGAATCACTAACCTGAATATACTACTTTTCGTAGAAATTCAGAAAGCAAGAAGTCGCCTTCGCTGTTTCAGGACCAAAAGGACATGACTGAACACTCTCCTTACATATACAGTACAACAGCGATACTGGTGAGTGAAGAATTATATTATCTTGACAACTGATATGGTTCTTTTAAAAAAAACTTCTAGCCACAAAATAAAAAATAAAGCTTTTACAGTTGAACCTTGTTAAGTTAAACCTCCCCCCCCCCCCGAATATAGAATATCTCTAGGAGTCAAAATTTTTGCTGGTCCCTTGAAATTTGACTTAGGGAGGTTCAAATGTACAAAAAAAGTCATTGCATCAAGATTCTGGTTTTTAGACTGTGCTTTTTTAAATAATGCTTTCGTTATTTTAATGTTGACGAGTCTCAATACGTGACTTGAGCAAATCATTTTCAAAAAATCCCAATACAACAACAAATTTAGCAGTGTACAATTAAAATGACATTTCCAGTGGAAAAAAATATTTGGAATTAACCAGAACCCAATCCATTTTCACTGAATTCTGGGAAAATTGGTCGAAAAATATTGTAACATTAAAAGTTGCTCATGAGGTGTTTTTGTTAAGGTCTTGAAAGTACTGTATATGGACTAATATAACGATAAAATGCGCTTCCATTGGAATTGCAAGTTTAGTAGCAAGCTCTGATTTTCTTTCTCTAAATACAGGCACCGTGATGGAATATTTCCGAGAGGAGTTGAACGTCGGAGCGCCTAAACTGTACTTGTGACCCTTTAAGTGTCGAGGGCACCTCCCGTAGATGATGAAGTGAACCGTGCCTTTGTTGAAGTTAATGTCGTGAGTTCAAGGAGAGGACATTATGATCAGCCACGAAGGTTATCCCGATGATCAATTGCAAGGTACAGGAATGACGGTCTATGCGACAGCGCCGCTCGAGGGGACCATTGCCACCGTGTCAACCAAGGGCTACATGTATTTTAAAACAGGGGAAACCGTCTCGTCAATTGTATACGGTCAAATAGTCCACAGTTCAGATGCCCCAGACGGATTCAAAGATTTTCCGGAATACATCGGATTTTCTGGGTACTTGGTCAGATCTGTCGAGGAGGATACATACAAGTACTAGAGATTGCTCAGCGAGTCCTCTCTTCTTTCTTCTTTTCTCGTGATTGCTCTGAGCGAATTGTTTTACTTTTATTTCATGGTCGTTGTGGCTGCTTTTTGTGAAAAAAAAACTGAGGGTGGCGCTGAAAACAGACAATATCTTGAACACTCATTGACTGCTGGAGCACAGTGGAATTTCGAACTTGCATCGTGCTGCATGAAACAATCATTCATAGGAGAATTTCTGCTGTGAGATTCAATAAAGCTGTCATCTTCTGAAATTTCCAGTTTTTCAAATAACCCTTTTATTCAGGCAGAATACCACCTGTCATAAATACACGATGGAACAAAGAAACTGATTCCTCTTCCATGCAAGTAACAAACGTTTAATAATATGCGATGATATTTTAAGAATGGAACCAATATGAAAATATTTTATTCAATAAATGATGCGCATGATTATCAGACACCCTCCTACAAAATTGGCATTGTCAA